TAATTTTTTTAAAGAAATGAAATGGGACATTTTTGTGAAGCGATCCACAACGACAAGAATAGTGGTGAAATGTTGAGAAGGTGGAAGATCAACGATAAAATCCATAGAAATAGATTGCCAAGGTTTTTCTGGAATAGGTAAGTTAAGTAGTAATCCAAAAGGTTGATTATGTTCTGGTTTAGACCTTTGACAGATAGGACATGTTTTGACATATAATGCAATGGTTCTATCCTGGCGAGGCCACCAATAATATCGTGAAGTTAGTTCAAGTGTTTTCTTTATTCCAGGATGTCCAGCTAGGGGGGAATCATGAACCATCTTAAGTAATTTATTCCTAAGAATGGGAGGAATATAAATTCTATTTTTAAAATAAAATAGACCATCCTTTTTGTTAGTATAGGTGTTTTGGGAAGTTCAAGATCCTTCTGATTCAAATTCTTTATGTCATCATGAAGAGAAGAGAGGATTCCTATTATTTTGGTAGAAGGATAATCATCAGTAGTAGTTTTAGAAGGAATTCGAGAAAGAGCGTTTGCCTTTTTATTTCTATTTCCAGGTCTGTATATTAATTGGAAGTTAAATCGGTTAAAGAATAGGTTCCATCTAACTTGTCTAGCTGTAAGGGTTTTGTTAGTATAGAGATATTCAAGATTTTTATGGTCAGTATAAACTATTATAGGTTGTTTTGTATCTTCCAGAAGATGACGCCAATTTTCGAAGGCAGCTTTAACACTTAATAATTCTTTTTCACCAATAGGATAATTTTTTTCAGCAGAGCTCAAGGATCTTGAAAAAAAGGCAACTGGATGAAGTGGATCTTGTGGAGTCTTTTGTTGAGAAAGAACTGCTCCGATGGCTGCATCTGATGCATCAACTTCAAGAACATATAGGAATGTTGGATTAGGTAGTTGTAGAATAGGTGCAGTTGTAAATCTTTTTTTTTAATTCGTCGAAGGCTGTTTGAGCATCTTTATTCCAATTAAAAGGACGTTTACTACTGTTGAGGAGGTTAAGAGGATGTGATACATCCGAATAGTTTCTAATAAATTTTCTATAGAAGTTTGCAAATCCAAGAAAACGTTGTAATTCTTTTGTAGTAGTAGGAGCAGGCCAATCAATAATACATTTGATTTTGGAATTATCCATCTTCAAAGAATGAGGTGAAATAATGTATCCTAGAAAAGAGAATTCAGTAACCTCAAAAAGGCATTTTTCTGGTTTAGCGTATAATTTATGAGTTCTCAGTCTAGATAGAACCCATCTAACATGTTTCCTATGTTCATCCAAATTGTTAGAATATATTAAGATATCATCTAAGTAGATAATAACACATACATCCAGAAGATCTCTAAAGATATCATTGATAAAATGTTGAAACGTTGCAGGGGCATTACAGAGCCCGAAAGGCATCACTAGATATTCGTAGAGACCATATCTTGTCCGGAAGGCGGTTTTCCATTCATCATCCTGTTTTATTCTAATGAGGTTATATGCGCCTCGAAGGTCGAGTTTAGTGAATATAGTTGCAGTTCTTAACCTTTCAATTAATTCATTTATTAGTGGAAGAGGATAACGATTTTTAATAGTTATTTTATTTAAGGCTCTGTAATCTATAATAGGACGGATGGTTTGGTCTTTATTCTTCACAAAGAAAATACTAGAAGCAGCAGGAGAGGTCGAGGGTCTGATGAACCCTTTGCGTAAATTTTCATTAAGATATTCTTTTAAAATTTCTAACTCCTTTTCAGAGAGTGGATAAATATGACCATAAGGAATAGGAGCTCCGGGTATGAGATCTATTGGGCAATCATATACCCGATCAGGAGGAAGTGTTTCCGCTTCTTTTTACAAAAGACATCTGCAAAATCGGAGTAGAATGGAGGTATAACTGGTTCTACAGTAGTTTGGAGAATAGGAATGTGTTGTAAGCACGTTTTTTTACAGAAATCAGAAGCAAAGGAGATGGAGAAGGGAGACCACTTAATTAAAGGATCATGGTTTTTAACCAATTAATTCCTAGAATGACGGGATGAAGTGGAGATTTAATAATATCAAATGTAATGAATTCGAAATGTACGTTGTTGGTAATCATTCTTAGAGGGATTGTTTCATCTTTGATGGGTCCTGAGGATATAAATGAACCGTCAATAACTCTGATTGGAATAAAATTGGTTTTTTGAACACAAGGAATTTTATTTTTTGAAACAAAAGAAAAATCAAGAAAAGTTCCATTAGCACCAGAATCAATGATGGCCTCAGTCACGATTCTTTTTGTATCCCACTGTAATATGAGAGATATAGAAAAATAAGTAGATGCTTTTCTTTTTTGAAAAACGTTCAATATAGAGGTAGATGAATGAAGCTTACCACCTTTTGAATGTTTCAGTAGAGGACATTCGGAAATTAGATGTTCATTCGAAGCACAATACATACATAAGTTTAGTTGTCTCCTTCTTATTCTTTCTTCAGAAGTAAGAGGACTTTTTATTATACCTACTTCCATAGGTTCAGTTTGTGGAGGAATTTTTCAGGTAGTTTTAGAGTAGTGAAAGGTTTTCTCCAGGTAGAATTAGTAAGAACCCTTTCAGCTTTTCTTTCTCTTAGACGTCTATCAATACTGATAGACAGTTGAATCAATGCATTTAAGGTAGGAGGAAGTTCTGTACGAGAGAGTTCATCTTTCACAGCTTCAGATAATCCGAGACGGAATTGATTGCGTAAAGTAATGTCATTCCATTGGGTTTCTGTAGCCCATCTTTTGAATTCTGCAATATAATCTTCAACAGGTCTATTCTTTTGGTGTAATGTTCTGATGGTTAAATCAGCAGTAGTTTGTTTAAAAGGATCTTCATATAATAAAGACATAGCTTCAAAGAACTCATCCAATGAATCCAATATGGGATCATCATTTTCCAAAAAGGAATGGGCCCATGCCATAGGTTCACCTCTTAAAAAAGAGATCACTGAACAGACTTTGGATCTTTCGGTGGGATAAGATCTAGGTTTTAAAGCAATTAGTAGTTTGCAAGAATTCAAAAACTCTCTGTACTTTGTTCTATCTCCATGAAATTTTTCTGGATTACAGACAGCAGGATCACCAGCCGATTGAAGAGCGGCATGAGGAAGATGACCTTGAATGTCTCTAACATAGGTTAATATTCTCTCATTTGTAATTTGCAGTTCCTGTAACCCTTGAGCAATCGTATCCACTCTATTGGTTAGGGCAGAAACTTGAGAGTTAATATCTGCTGGTTCCATTGAAGAGGCTGAATTATTCTGTAATATTTATTTTGTAATATTTCTTTAATTGGAACTCAACTGCAGCATTTCTTGGTTGCAACAACAATAAGGTTCACCTCCTTTTATATTGGTATGAAACTATGGTCACTGTACCTTAAATATCCATGTAGGTAAAATTAGGCTTTGTAGCAATCCCTTATGAGTAAGAGGAATAATTAGACAAAGTGACACTTTAGTGAGTTTTAGATACTGTGTAATATAAATAATAGTAATTGACTTGTTTGGTAAAAGTATTACTTAACTTAAAGGCAGTTCTGGCACTGGAAGGGTTAATTCACCCAATGAAGGAGAAATTAGAAGTCCGTTTCAACAAGCTGAGAACTAGGAGTGGAGAGTGGGGAAGTCCGTTTTAACAAGCCGAGGTCTGGGAGTGGAGAAGGTAGAATTCAGAGTTACAAGCCGAGGTCTAGGAGTGGAGAAGGTAGAAATCCGTTTACAAGCCGAGGTCGAGAAGTGGAGAAGGTAGAAATCCGTTTACTAGCCGAGGTATAGAAGTGGAGCAGGTAGGATCAGAAGTAGAGCAGCTGATCTTCATGCAGCACCTGTGCGAATAATTCAGCCCTTTGAATCTGGCGCGGTCCTCCTAAGTATCGTGGAGGGACCGCGTCAGAGAAAGGGGCGGGGCTGAGCGCCGTGAACCCGGAAGTGGGTTCCGGCGATAAATTACATGCCATGCTATACCTGACAGTATGAAGACGTAAATATAGTATTGGTTGTAATGGTTAGTCTCACCTTTAACAGAGCCCTGGATTCCCTGCTCTGAGGTTGATTGACAGTGTGCTGCTTTTATTGGGATAGCACTCCCCAAATGTGGTACTGATAGCTAGAAAGGACTTATAGGACTAATAAGTGTAAAATATTAAAAATAATTTATTAGTGATAAATTAAAACAGAATTAGTACTTCTTCTATAAAATAAAAAAAGTCTGCATAAAAAAGTCCAAATGTAAAGTCCAAAATTCAGATAAACGCATTTCACTATATGAGCTTCCTCAGTAGCTGTGTAATAGCCTCAGGGATCTTCTGCTTTATATATGTTCCAAAGTTCATATGGGTCCTCCATTTTAGGGTCACATGATGTGTAATTGACCAATCATAAAGTTAAGTTCTTTCTCTTAACTTTATGATTGGTCAATTACACATCATGTGACCCTAAAATGGAGGACCCACAGGGTCATGGGCGAGGGAGCTGTGGGGCTGTTTAGTTCGAAATAATCTTTGATTGCTTTGGCCGTTTTATCCTTAATCAGTTTATCATGTAGCAGTAGTGGGTTTAGTCGCCATGTCCAATTTTTATGGATTGTTGGTAGATTTAAAGTGATTGTTATCTCAGCATGGTCGGACCAGGAGATTGGGCCAATGTCCGAGTTAGTGATCTGGGGTACTAGTGTCGGGGAGATTAGGAAGCGATCTATACGCGAATATGAGCCGTGTGGATGTGAGTAGAATGTCTAGTCTTTGGTTGATGGGTGTTGCGCCCTCCAGATGTCAATTAGGTTTTGTGAGGCCAGGAATTTTGTCGAAGAGGGTGTCGTTTTGGGATGGACGGGTATGTGTGTTGGTGTGCTGTGTTCTGTCGATGGTGGGTGTGTGGATTGCATTACAGTCTCCACCCAGTATGAGGCGCGTGTTGGAGTAGGTGCTAAGGTGGATCGCTAGTTGTTGCCAAAATGATGCGTCTGGTGTTGTGGGTGCGTATACCGATGAGAAGGTATATGTCTTTGTGCCTATATTTCCCTGTATCGAGATGTATCGGCCCTGTGGGTCCTTTGTGCAGGTGATGCCTGTTAGGGGGCTATTTGCTTTCAAAACGATTGCTACCCCTTTGGATTTGGTATCTAGTGATGGGGCCATAAAGCTTCGCATGTAATATCTGTTTGTGAGGGGGAATTTTCGGTGCGTTGGGAAGTGGGTTTCTTGAATAAGGAGTATGTCAGCATTTTGTTTGTGTGCCCATCTAAGAATGCTGTGTCTCATGTTGGAAGAAATTAGTCCCTTTGCGTTGATGGATACACAGCGTATGGATGTTGGCATCGCTTCGATGGTAGATTATCATTCCCTTAGGGCTCACAGTGTAGGTTGGGTGTCTGGGTGGCCGTGGGCCATCGGGAAAAGGGAGGGGGTGAGGGGAAGGTGTGTGGGTTACCCTGCTGTGGGGGGAGGAAAAGGGGGTAGTGTCATGGGTATTTAAGGGTGAGGGTGGGGTAGGCTACTGGGCTTATCCTATGGCCAGTAGTGTGTGGGGCTAGGCGTCTAACTGCTCCGTAGGTTTGCTCCTAGAGTACGGTTCTATGTGTGTCTGGGGTTGGTGACTGTCCGGTCTGAGCCGCCAACAGGTAGTTTTCGGTTTAAAGTCTTGGGTCCTTGTGGTCAATGGTCGGTCATCATCTCTCTACTGCCGAAGCGTGGTTCCTGTCTCAGTTATTAGTGGTGTTATCCCACAATGTGCGTATCCTCAAAGCTATACCTGACAGTCCAGGGGGGTGTCGGTCTGGGTGTCGGATGGGCTTGTGCTCAATCCATTGGTGGGGTGTTTCTGCGTCTGCCCTATCATGTGCCATCCACGGGTCTCCCTCTGAGGTGTCTGGTGGGTCGTGACACTCTGTGTGAGGAGTTTCTTGAGAATAAAGGTAGAACATTAATATTACAATATCATAACATCAAAATCAACATAATGGCATTCTAATATCTCAGTAATATCGAATCCCAGTCTGTGTCCTTCCCTCTGGAGTTGGTGCGTTTGTGATTGCGCAGAGCCGGGTTGTTAAGTGCGGCCCGTTCATGTGTACTGTCGGTTGTGGGTGTCTGTGTACGGTTTCCTTAGCATCCATCGTGCTTCACGTCCCATCTCAGCTAGCCCCGTAGGTTACATGCTGCGTTCTGGTGGATGCTATGTGGTTGTTGTCCCTATCTATTGGATGTGTGGGTTGGGTCGAGGCCTGTCTATCGTGTGCCTATGACCTCTACGGTCCCATTTTTGATAATAATGTCATCAAGCAGTTATTAATAAACAGTAGATTTGAAAGAACAGTGGTGATAAATATCTTATCTGTAGTCTGGAGTCCTTGGAATTTTCTGTGCAGGTAAGTCCGCTATCCTTGCTTGTGTGCTCGGTTAGTTGTTAGGTTAGGAGGTTGAGTGGCCCTGACGTAGGCCTCGGGTGCGCTGGCTGCATTTGTCATAGTGGTGTCTCGTGGGTGGACTGTCCGGGTTGTTTTAAATAGGGGGTGATCCCAGTATTGTCTGTTCTGATGATCGCTTGAGAGATAAGAGATGTAATTCTTCTCTTTTAGTTTTCGGGTGTGGGATGTGGTCCACTGGGTGTCGGGTTGTTTGTGGCTGATGAAGGTGTGCTTCTCGGTGGTGGCCCTCTATCCGTTCTTCTGGGAGGTAGGTCAGCGGTGAGATTGGTGCTGGTTAGGCCCAGTTGTTTTGCAAATTCAGCAACATCGGCTATGTTGTGCAAGGTGTATGTGCGGTTGTGCCTCCGTACCTGTAGTTTGAAGGGATGCCCCCACGAGTATTGGATGTTCCGTCTGGCAAGTTCTTGGGTGAGGGGTCTCAGCTCTCTTCGTTTGCGGAGGGTGGTTGGTGCCAAATCCTGGTAGAAGGAAATTTTGTGTCCTTCTATTTGCAGCGGAGTATCTCTTGCTGCTCGCATCAGTGCTTCCTTGATTTGGAAGTAGTGCATTCTGATAATAATGTCCCTTGGGTGGGTTGCGTTGGGCATTGGTGCTCTCAAGGCCCTATGCACTCTGTCCAGCAGGAGCTCCGCCGGTGTGGCTTCTGGGAGTAGGCCGCAGAATAGTTTGCGCAGGGTTGGGCCCAGGGCGTCCATTTCCACCGTTTCTGGCACACCATGGATTCTGATGTTGTTGCGGTGGGAGCGGTTATTAAGATCTTCCTGGGCCTCTTCTAGTTGATGTATTTGGTCTTGTAAGGCGGCTATGGCGTTTTCATTTGCCGTGGTTCACATGGGGTCCGGTCTAATTGTTCTTCAATGGCGGTAGTTCTGTGTGTCAGGTCTTTCAGGCCTTCTATAACAGGGGTTTTGATGTTTCTCGAATTCCGCTGTCATATTGTTTTATCTCCCTGAGTAGGTGTTGGAGGTCGTTTCTCGTGAGGGGGGTTGAGGTGGCTGTTCTGCTCATGTCGCTTGCCGCTGAGTCTGAATCATAGTCGCGGCCATCTTCAACACGTGTGGAGCCTCGGTCCTTGTGGGTCTGGAATATCGGCGCCACCTCAGTTCCCTGCTTGGTTTTTTCGTTCGCCTCCCATGTCAGCTTGGATGGGCTCCGTGATGGCTGGTTGGGTGACCGAGTGATGTTTGCCAATTCTCGGGGTAGGTACCTTATGTTAGCTTTTCTTTGCCTGTCGGGTCGGAGCTCCAGTAGAAAGCCGCCATTCGCGCCGGAAGTTAGGCGCCGCCCCCGTTTAAGTACAACTTAAAGGGACACTAGAGGCATGCAGACCACTTCAGCTCATTGAAGTGGTTTGGGTGTAGTGTCCCTGTCCCCTCTAGTCCTGTTATGTAAACATAGCAGTTTTAGAAAAACTGCAATGTTTATATTGCAGTTCTAAGACAGCATCTAGTGTCTATCTACCAAATAAAAAATAACAGAGCTTCCAGGAGTTTTACCGGACTCATGGTCACTTAACTCAAGCTGGATGTCCTCACCCTCTGCATGAAGACATCCAGCGCCAGAGAAATCCCCAATAGTAAAGCATTGAAGCAATGTTTTTAAATTGGGAGACACTAATGTGCTTGCTGCATTCACCACGCACTTGCCCCTCCCCCACCCCCCACCAAACAACGTCAGAGGAGGCTGAGTGCCGACCTAGTGCCAAAATAAATTGGCATTGTAATTGGGCGAGTAAATAAAGAGGTTTTTTTAACCCTTTACATGCCGGTGGGCAACAAGAGATGGAGGGACCAAAGAGCACTATAGTGTAACAAATACAGATTTGCATTTCTTACACTATAGAATCATTTTAATGAATCCCTTTAACTTTCAACCTAGAAGATGCATACTATCAAATTCTGATACATCAGACACATGAAATTCCTGCGGTTCCATGTCCAATGAAAGCATTACCAATTCAAAGGTCTTCCTTTTGGACTCAGTTTCACTCAAACAACCTTTTCAAAAGTTCAAAAGTTATTGTCTCCTTAATGGCTGTTCTTCTAAAACAACAGATCCAAATCTACAACTATTTGGATGACATTCTGAATATAATTCAGACTCATTCCAAGGAAATCATGAATACACATATGATGATTCTACCACTAAGAAAGCATGGCCAGATTATCTTCAAATTGGTGTAATTAACAAACTTGTATGGAGTAATACAATACTGAAAAACAAAACAGAAATTGAACAATTATAATATGGGGTAACAAGAAGGAAAAGGGAAAATAATAATTTAAAAGGGGGGCGTGGGGGTGGGAGAGGGGGATGAAAATGTCCGAAAGGGCACTGCAGCCCCTTCAGCATATATCTGAAATATCTTTACTCATTTTGTGTAACCTTGAAGGGGCCAGGTGCCATTGGTACAAGATCTTGTAATGGTTCTCCATATGACCAGAGCACTGTGTTATACCTTTAAGCGATGTAGATATCCTAAACCATTCTTCCAGTTCCCAGTGAAGGTCCAGATCCCACTACTTGGCCAGCATAAAGTCCAGTTTGCCTGCATTGGTTGGAAACAAATAAGAGTAGCATAAAGAAATTGTATGTTTCTGATTGGAGTTAAAAAAAAGAATTATCTTCCAAATTCGAATTGTTCAGTTGTTCAAATTTTTCTTGCAAAACCTTAGAAATCACAGAGAACTGGGGTGCCAGATCAAACTCCAGGTCATATTTTGTTTTTAATTTGTCAAATGTCATCAATGAGTTATTTTCGAATGCTAAAAATAGATTTCACATGCCATTCATTTAAATCCAATTGTGGCAGATAATGTTTCAAAGTGGAAAGCGGCATGACCCTAGACCAATTTGATTGGGTGTTATAGTTTTAAAAAGAATATAGCGTGCTTTTAGTGAAATTTTTGTGGATGGAAACATTTCATATAATTTAGGTATTTTTCACCTGGAAAACCAAATGAAATCTTTGGTCAAATGTGGATATAATTTATCGGTTTCCATTTCCAACCATTTTGGTTTTTTTAATAACCAGATTAGATTTGATAGCTGCAGCTGTATTAGTAGATTTTCTAAAATCTGGCATCCCCAGGTCTCTGCAACCCCTTAATGCCTGCAAAACTGTCAATTTAACTCAACACAGTTTATTCTTTCAAATAAATGTAAGAAAATCAGAATGCACTCTTTTGAAAAAGGACAGGGGAATGGCTTTAACACAGGGGTGCCGAAAGGTAGATCCCAGATGTTTCAAAACTACAGCTTCCATGATGCTTTGTCATTCTAAAGGCATGCAATGCATCATGAGAGTTGTAGTTCTACAACATATGGGGATGTACCTTTTGGGCACCCCTGCTCTAATACAATACAACATCTTAGGGAGGACAGTAATTTTAATTGATGTTATACCACCCATGATATTTCAAGCTCAGCCCATCTTTCTAGCCCAACCTTGAGTTCAGCCCATAGCCTGGTCAAATTAAAAAAAATGCATCTTTGACAGATTCTTGGTTAAATTTATACCCAAATGCGAGATATAAGAGTCCCTCCAGTCAAACTGGTATCTTACCTTCAAATCCACCAACACAAGACTTGGAATATGAAATGGTAGCGTTTGCATCTTTTGAGAATTTATTTTATAATTAGAGATTTCAGCAAATTGCTGTAGAATATAATTTAGTGGTCCCATGGATGATTCAGAGTTTCAGAGAGACAAGATAACGTTGTCTGTGAACAGACCTATTTTGTGTCCACTATCTCTAACCCTGATTCCCTCAATTTCATCAGTACCTTTTATGGTCTCATCCAGGGATACTTTAGCTAGGACAAATAATCATGGTGACAAAGGACACCCCTATCTGGTACCATTCAACAGTCAAAATGTATGTGAGGCAATATCTGAGGCAGAAACCTCTGCCGTGGGGTTACAATACAATGTGAAAATTGCATTAATAAAAGAGTAAGGCAAGTTCATCTTGATCATAACCTCCTTCAGGGAGCCCAAACAAACAGTTTTTTTCAATATATTCTAACAAATGCCTTCTATGCATCCAAAGATAGAAGCAGAGAAGGAGTCCTTTTAGATTTTATTTGATGCATCAATTTTATAAACCATCTTGTGCCTGCCCATTACAAAGCCAACTTGGTCATTGTTGACAAGTGAGGTAATAAATAAAGCCCATCTATTACCCATCACTTTGGCATACAATTTAGTGCCATTGTTCATCAGTGATATCGGGTCAAAATTAGAGCTTCCATCAGGTGTCTTTCCCGACTTTGTCAAGATGACACTTCTAGCTTTTAGTATGTTATTATTTATTTATAATTTTAGGTCTCTTTCTATGCCTCTTCTCTTCATCACTCCTTCATTCCAACAACATTCAAATAATTTGGTTAAATGTGGAAGAAGTATGTATGAGAAGGTTCTGAGAAGGTTTTGTAATATTGCAAGGTAAAACCAGCTAACCCTTGGGAGTCTTTATCATCGCCTCTAAAATTATCATCAGAAATTATGTTTTTGTCTGTTTGGATTTTGGCAATGTTATTTTATCTAAAAATGCTTTTATATTAGTAATTGAAGTTTACACCAGATTACCATCATTTTCCAAATTATATAAGGGATTATATTAATTTGCGAACATGTTGCTGATTTTTGTTGGGTGACCTTTTTATTCTTCTGATCATCTAATAGATATTCAACTCTAGCCTGATACGTAATTTGCCCGAGTTTATTAGCCAGCAGTTAAGAGGCTTTTTTTAGAATAAAATGTTTGTTTCAATCACCTCATGGCTAAATTATATACTAAGAAAAAAAGCAAGACTACTTCCAGTTCAATTGTCTTCTTAGGAGTCAATATCAACACTCAACTCTCATTTTCAATTATTCTCTCAGAAGAAAGAATGTTTTGTATAAGAGACAAAATAATATATCAGTACCCTCAAACAGAAACTTGAGAGTTCTCAAGTCTCCTGGGGTCCCTTATATCTATGAGTATTTTTTGTACAATTGCTAGTAATACACACACCCCCATGCCACCACTCATTGGGGCTCCAATTTGAAGAACAGGGGGTGGATTGATACGTATTCTCATTTAGCGCTGATATCAGAGTGCCTACAATTTAGCATTTTTTATCATGTGCACATTTTATTTCTTTCAAATTGTGTTACACAATGATTTGTGTTTTGTCTATTTTGCATGTGCAGTAAATTCCTACTTTTTACTAAGGATCTTATTGTGCGTGGATTATTATGATCCCTGATGGTATGTAAATTCTTTATTGTAAAATATTTGGTGGGATCACATATTTCACAATATCTTACAGCACCTTGAATGCTTTGGTCTCCATTTTTGCCTCCTCTTTTTGTGTTGTTACTATTACTTTGCAATTTAACACACTAAAACTTAATAATCCCTGTTTATTTATATGGAATAATGTGCCCTTAATAATTTTTAAATGCCTTTTCCAATCCAGGATTCAAATAACTCTGAGAAAAATTATACAAATATATTTCATCAAGTTCACAAACCCATTTTTGATGAACATTTTAAAAGGAAATAATTTTCCGAGAATGACATATCCCGGGGCTAACATTAAACAAAGAGAAAGAAATTTACACAGCAATTTAACCCTTCTCTACAAAAGTAATGAGATACAGAATAAATTATGTATTCTATTACTTTTCTTCTGAATGATGTAT